ACTAGAAAAGAATTGGATGATGAGGCATTTAAAGAAAAAGTAGGAAGGAAAATATTGTCTAGAAATATTTATGCAAATTTTGCTCATTTAAACAAGTCATGTACTGTCAAACATTCAAACTAAAAATGTTTTCTACAGTTGACAAACCTTTAAATAAATAAATCAATTAAAGACAATTGCATATATGTACCTGTGAGGTCTTTTGGTCTTGGAACATGAAATTAAATATTTTTGTATGACAAATGTTGCGTGTGTACCAAGCTGCCATTTTAATGATTTCCAGTTCACACTTCACAGGTTATAGTACACAAGTAAAATCCCAAAAGAAGCTAAATAAGTAGATGTTTATATATCCTTTAGATGATTGCAAAATCAAAGGAATGGGCTAGCAACTACATGTAGGCTGAGAGGTAATCCTTTTCACTGAAATTTAAGACTAATGGCACAATGCTTTTAAAACTACAGTCTTACCTTATATGTTTCATTATAGGTACTCTACATGTACAGTACATGTATATGCCATGGAAGCATACAAGTGGAACACCCCCTTAAATTCCTCAAGCAACACAAAGTGAAACCAATTGATTTTACATGTACCTTGAACAAAGGTATAAAAAACACACCTTTGTTTAGTCTTTGACAATTCTTCTTTCTTGTCTTCATCAAAGCTCACACTGACATATATATATGATGTTTTATAAAACTCTCATGCACGGCAGCAATCTCGGAATAATCCTGAAACCCTTGTATTAGCAAAAGGATAATGTTAGCCAATTATTCTTTGCACTTTGCTTGCATTAACCGGTTTCCCTAATTACCTCGTTAGCTAAACACTTCTTTCAAGAAAAACAGATAACTTGCGCGCAGTGGCGTTTTGTCGCTCATGGGGAATGAGAAATGGCTAATTTTAAAGCTGATCAAATAGAAATTAAATTGACTTTGCTGTGCTAATAAATGTACACCTGGCATGGAGCAAAAAACCGTTTTGGAAAATAATGTTTGGTTTCCCGGAAAATCAAATTTGAAATTTGATATTCTTTTTGGCTTATAATAAGGACCCCTGAAGCTAAATGCTATAAAATGTCCTAAATCCTAAATGCTTCACTAATCCCTCTGAATAGTGTATAATTGCAAAGGTTTGGAGCCATAGATGCTTGTGTCAGAGGCACTTCCTTCCTCTGGATATGGTACTTGAGAGAGAAAACTACAAAATTTGGGTTTAATTTGCTGTAATTCCGTTACCAAAAAGTTACAGAAGTTTTTCTCCTGGCCTCATTTCTTTCAGGATTATTCCACCATCGTAAATTCTCTTCCTTAATCTGCCTACTAATAACCTCAAACACTAAATTCTCAAATATAAATATTTACTCCTATGGAAACATTGGTAACGGAATTACATGGGGTAACGGAATTACATTGCAGAATCATGTACGTCTTGAGGCTGTGTTTGGTCAAAGAGGGCAGCAATCACAATTATGTTTCTTTGTTTTACATGCATCACTAGAAGGTAGCAATTTATGACTTTTTTGCATATGCACATGGTAACTTCCCTCCATACATTGCACATGCATCTACAAGACTACAAATTTGGTGAGTATGCTATTCATTAAAATCCCAGCAGTTTCTTTTCACAATGGTAATCTCAATAAGTGATTACTTAAAAAGTACTTGCATCAATGATCATACTCATTACAAAATGCATTCTTTTGCACTGTCACTTAAGCATACTTAACATACTGTATATACATACATGTAGGCTTACTTACAGTGTACAAGTATAACGTGCAGCGCTGATGTACTCGAACAAGCTACATGTAGTACACATAACTATAGTTTATTTCAGCATTATATTATTTGATGTTATTACATGTACATGTACTCTAGTCTACAGAGCTTATCATGCTATGAAGACACTGGGTGTAATAATTATGTAATGATGAATAAACTGTTATTTATTTTTGTCTTAACAGTTAAGTAATCAGTGTTTCAAAATCATCATACAGGTAATGGCACTGTCAGTCAGCTAATCAATGTGGACGAAGACCAGGGAAGCAATGTGGATGAAGACCAGCAAAGCAGTGGGGACACAGACCAGC